TCTGCTGTGTGGTCGCGGGAGAATATGTCGGTAACCTTGAGTTGCTTCTGGCCAAAGGCTTTGGCAACAGCTGGGCCTACAACGACCTGGAACCCTTGGCAGAATCTGAGACTGATCATCTCGCGCAGCATCTCGTCGCGTGACTTGGGTTCCTCGGCCAACTCATCATCAGCATTTTGCGAGACATTATACGGTTGACGGTGGTACTCTGACTCGAACTGTGCCTTGGTAGGGAAGTATTCTGTGGTAAGTGGAACGGCAGCGGGGGAGCACAAAGACTTCCATTTCATCACCCGTGTCTCGTTTGGCCTAGGAAATACATGTTGCCAACGACTGTACAACGTGGCAATATCGACCTTGTTGCTATCAGGGTTTGACGGGTTGACCAACGTCAGCCAAGGTGACAGCGCGGTTGTCGGCGATAAAGTTGACGGTAATTCCGGTACCGCTCCGGCCAAAAGCTTGTTATTGTAAACCTTCTTCGCATCTTCAGCCCTGATTGCATCTGAATAGAAGAGATCACGATTATCAGGAACGTAATCGGCCCGTAGCGTTGAGGCAAGCATCGAGCCTGATAGCATGTTGGCTGCAGGGTCAGTAGGAATCTGTTGCGACTTGATTGGCATCGGCCGGCTTGGAGTACCCTCGAAGTACTGATGGCTGGGCGCGAATGAGCCTGGTGTAGCGCCCCAAGGGGAGAACACGGGAGTTCCACTCGTAAACATCTGGGGCGACATTGACCGGTTGATTGCTGCTTTGGCTGGAGTTGCAACAGTGCCCGCGTTCATCAAAGCCCTTGAAGATGCCAATGATCTATCAGCATTCACACTTTCAATGCTAAGTTCTGCCGTCGCAGCTTTGGGTGCGGCAATGCGAAAACCGGAGCTGCCAAGGCTGATCTGCTTCATGAACTTTGGAACTTTTGGAGTGATTGTAGGTGAACGCTTGGAGTTGAGTTTGTCGAAGTCGACCGTCTTACGGTTACGCGATTCAGGTTTGTCGGCGTTGAAGCGCTGATTGGATCTATGCCCAGTCATAGTCATTTGTGAGGCACTCGTAGACGGCCTACGCTCAGTGTATGACGTCCCGAGAAGACTCGCGTCATCAGCTTGATGTCGCCTGACGGAATCATCGTACTCCCGAACATGTCTTGGAGGCGCCAATGTGCGGCGAAATGACGGCTGGCGCGCTCTCGAGTCGTCGTAGTCCTGCAATTGCTTCCAGAGTGACTTCTCGCCCAACTTTGCGTGCTTATCCGGGGCGAATTTCTGGAACCCGTACACATGATCAAAGAGTGTTTCTGGGATGCGCGAGTTTTGTATGAAGACGTTGCCATCTTGATCGATAAACGGTTTCGGTACGTTGTTTGCCTGTAATGCCTTATGAGGAAAATAAGGATCCAGATGCAACGGCTTGGTTTCAATCTCATTGGTTTCCATGACGCTGCGCATTTGCAAGTCATACATGCGACATCTTATCAAGAAATCGTCCCCTGACCGTGTTTTTGAAACATCAGAGACCGATAGAGCAATGCCATGGTATGACAGGGCTTCCTCGGACTCGCCTGTCCAGTAAGAGACATGTAGCCATTGCGGCAAAGCATAGCTCCATTCATCTTGAGCCAAGCCAGAGCCAGCATGATCACCATGAAGAGTGATGTCGGTGCCTCTGCTTGGGGAATATGACCCCGCCATGCTGTTAAAGCTCCCAATCGTCGGCGCTGTTTGTTTAGGAGTACTGGAAAGACTCGGGGCTGTTTTTGCCTTGTGATGATGTGTCGGTTCTGTCGAGTACTCAGGGTTGCGGTACCGAAACAAGGGCACGGAGTGGAGAGGAGCCTTGGGTATGCATATAAGATCAATACCAATCCCATTTCCAACCAAGGCTTCGGTGGTACGGCGCAGTGCGTCGTACTCGACTTCGAAAATCCCCGGACTAGGGCTTATGACGACGACAGAAATGCCGGTTCGCATCAAATCACGATCTATGTAATCGTGCGCAAACAGCGAGGTTGCCATGTTGATCGCCTCTAGGAAATTGCCATAAATGGCTCGTGACGCCTCAGCCGTTATCCTGTTCAAGGCTGCTTGCTGGTCGGCTGGGTCGTCTGAAGAAGAAAAGGAGTGCATAGCCTTCTGATGGAAGGTGCTAATATCCCTTCGAAAGTAGTTAAACTCGCGCTTCAACTGGTAGAGGATCTTGGTCCACTCGCCGCTGCCCATTTCGCTCACAACAACGCGGTAGAAGTCCTTGTAAGGGCGACGATCGCCAGACGACTGGACACCAGTGTAGTAGTCATTTTGGACGTCCGGGTTGCCCAACTCGGTGGATATGCCTGTGTCATACTCAACTCGAGCAAAGAGAACAATACTGACAAGGTGCCTGACTTTAAGTGACGCCCATTTCTTGAACAGGGCTGGCAAAAAACCGTTCACAACCTTGTTGAACATAATCTCACCAGAGCCATCTGAATCAAAGTCCCACATTTCGCGCGCCATTTGGATGAAAAGCACGTACCGAGCAGACTCGCTTCGGAAGATGGGTTTTGTATTATGGCCAAAGAATGCGGATGGCACCTTACGGCCCTCAACATAGACAGCGGTAACTTGAGCCTTGAGAGTGCCCATGAACAGAACCATTTGGCCCTTGTAGACAGTCTTCTCTGAAAGCTCACGAACAGCCAACTGCCACATGTCGGAGCGCGACATGTACTGGTCTCTGAAGCAAAGCTCGACATGCGAGGCCTCGATGACTGGGTTATGATGATCAATCTATGTAATTTAGTAGGGATCCTACGCGGCTACAAGTGAGGAGTGGGGGCGTACTGGGGTCAGGGTAACCTGCGAACCCTTCCTCATGCCGAAGACATCAGCAATGTGCTTTGCGACGTAGACTTCAACACTCGGGTAGCGGGCTTTGAGTTCCTTGGGCATGTCCTTGACGACAAAGATGTAACGCTGTTGACTTTCTGCAGCCTCTTTTGTGCGGTCCGGTGGAGGCTGTTTATGATGATGATGATGATGGTGGTGGTGGTGGTGATGGTGATGAGAACCTTGCGCTTGCTTCTCCGCATCAGGTCGGAAGACGTCGAGAGCCATGAGGCTGCCTGGGGTTGCCTCATCACCTATGAGATCAAGATTAAGCAAGACTTCATCGCGAGCAAAGGACTCGTTGACGGTAACGGTCCACCTCCTTTCGATACGCGAACGCCTTGAGGATGAAGAGGGCCGGTCACGGATGGTCGAGTTACTAGAGACAGTGTCCGGGGACCGGGGCATATCCGGGATGCGCTCCAGGCTGTTTCTGCTGAACTGCCGGAGGTGCGACGACCAGTTGGGGGGCCTGACCTGTCCCGGCACCCCCGAAGAGAAATTGCGCGACGCCATCGATGCCGTCTGACAGCAATCATCGGCTTAGTTCCATGCGTTGACGTCAGATGCTCAGGTGAGATGATTAGGAGGTCGATAGCACGCCCTATTCCTAGCTCGCTGTTGGTGGTTGCGATCTCGAGGCCACCATGCCTACGAGACACATTCGAGAGGATCAAGAAAGAATTTGTAAGACGAATATTGCCGAAGGTGTACGAAGTTTATTTCATCGTCTACATACATGCAGTGGTTGGCACGATGTCGCCTTCAAAGACAAAGTCTGGTGGGAGTTGAAACGCAACCTGAGAGAGAGACGACGTCCGCACAGGAGCTCGGACCATCTGTGCTAGCTGCAGGTACGGTCAGCTGTAGAGCCCTGTAGAGGTAGGTACCTGCAGTGTACTGATACTCTGACAGTTGGGATGCGGCAGAATTCAGTGTGCCCTCATTCACCGCCCTACGATGCCGAACGGCACCTTGGAAGCGCACGAGCCATGTCATGCCTCTACATATGACATCGGAGGACTTCCAGCCTCTTCACCTATAATCCTACAAATCCAACTTCCCTCACTATCCTCCTCCCGTCCGTTCGGACCGCGACGGCCAATGTAAAGATTCTTATGCAATGGTTAACCCAAGCGTCAAGCCACCTGCCCGCCAAAGTTACACGGCTGTCTGATGGTGGGAATTCTTTGTGCATCCGTCTAAAAGTCGTGAGGTGGCAGCGCCGCCGCCGTGCTCCATAGCTTAGGCCCGTACGACATCAATGACCAGCCTCCAGCTGTTTGACAGAGCCTCGTTGTCTCCCCTAAAAGGCCCCTCTGATATTATTCCGGTCTCAAAGCACACACACCTTGCCTATGCTCTGCTGCCATCGGCCTTCTCATCAAGCGGTTCAAGTTAGAATAGTGGTCACTTATCACGACATCTCTTGCTAAGAGTGCGCGCTTTCTACATGCCAGTCATGGGGGAGGAATTGTAGACAGTCTTTCTGCAAGGCGATAGGACTGAATTGGATTCAGCTCACCCAGTCATAAAGCCGTCAAGGCACAAACTGCAAGTCGGTCACAGCATCGACTGTACCTGGGAGTCATTGGTTCAAAGCTCTCTACCGTACCTCGCCAACGGTGTGAACTCTCATTGGGACCAGTGTCGACTTTGCTCGCTCTTGACGTCGAAGAGGGTACACTGTCCAACGTGCCATTGTCATCCACCTTGATCTCTTGGCTGCTGGTCTATCACCAACGAAATGCTGCTCGACTTGATCATTGAGAATAGCATCGCCAGCCTGTCCAATGGCCGCCTTACGTCGATGGATACTGACCGGCTTCCTACTTCCAAAGACCCTTCGGAAGGGAGAGGACCTTTACGGCTCACGCTTCACGTGCAAGTCCGTCTGTGTCGTACCTGCTGTACCCAACTCGGCTAGAATGTACTTGCTCCCTTAAATCGAGCTGACCCGGGAAGGCGGGACGGTGTAAAAGCTCCTCTCGGGGTATCAACTCGATCGCAATAGTCTTAGCATCGACATTATATCTGGCATTTTCAAGTCGGTTTCCAGGCAATCCACGTAAGCACCTATAACTGGTTTCCGACCGACCTCGACGTCTTCCTCCACTTGCTCGTTAAGCAATGGCACCCAAAATTGGACAGAAGCAGAGGCTAGCCGCAACAATCGCCATATCCTCTGCCTTTTTTGTATCAGAACTTGCTGGTCTGTTCGCGTTTATCTACTTCTGTTGCCACTTTGTCTCTTCGTTTTGATTTGTCCAAGTTTTCTTTTGTCAAAATGACAAGGGAACATGTTGCTGACAACAACCTCACAGTTGCTTTCAAGACAGGAAGCTTGGCCCTTACGGCAGACGCATTTCACTATGTACTTCTCTAATGCGTACCCTGTGACCATCCTAGCCCATGCTAATAGTTTGTCGGCCAGTTGAACGACCTGATTAGTTTTGCTGTCACCTTAACCGCCATTATTGTAAGTAGTCTTTTTCTTTCTTTCCCATGAGACTCCTCCTCTTGCAAATCTGTGTATCATCTAACCCGGTTCAGGCACTGACACTTTCCTAGAAGACCGAAGGGACCGGCACACCTGTAGGGTTTTCCTTTGGATGGCAGCGCGCCTGCCTTCTCGGCGCCTTCTTCAATGGCGTCTTCTTACTTGCCCTCGGGACGAGCATCTTCCTCCAATCGATTGAACGGTTCATCACCGTTGAAAGAGTGGAGGACCCAAAATTGATGCTGATTATGGGATGTGTGGGATTCACACTCAACATTATCACAATCACATTTCTGCATGGTAGGTTGGTCGTGAATTTATGAGCCAGAAGACATAGATCTGACACTTCATTCGCAGAGCCACATGACCATATTAGTCACGGTCATTCTCTAGGGCATTCACATGAACATGACAATGAAGTAGCTTTCAACTTTGACACATGTTGTCGGGCGGGTGGAGATGCAGAGTCTGTAAGGTCAACTCAAGGTCCCCGATACATACTTGAGACGGACACTAATCAGTTGTGCTGGACAAAAGCCTTTCCACCATCACTTTCAGCATCGACATTCCTCTCTTCCTGATATCCAGCAGCCTCAACGACGCGATCTGGGCATGCTCGCCGCGCTCATTCACGCCATGGGCGATGCGATCAACAATCTTGGGGTCATCATGGCCGCACTCCTGATCTGGCTACTCAGGTCCGATGCTCGCTTTTATGCTGATCCCGGTGTTGGTGTGGGTATTGCTATCATGATTGTACTGTCGTCTGTGCCCCTGATCAAGAACAGCGGCGAGATTCTTCTCGAAAGTGCTCCGAAGGGAGTAAGAACCGATGATATCAAGCACGACATTGAGAAGGTATGTCAAATCCAAACGATGATAAGAACAGCAACTGACTTTTCCTTCACGGATCAGGTTCCAGGAGTCGATTCGATCCACGAGCTGCACGTCTGGAGACTCGATCAGAACAAGGCCATCGCCTCGGTCCACGTCGTTCTCACAGAAGATGGCATCGTGAATTTTATGGACAAAGCGAGGACCATCGGTGAGTGTCTTCACGCCTATGGGATCCATTCGGCCACTGTCCAACCCGAACTTCCCCCCGGATACGAAGAATACGAGCTTGTTCCAGCCAGTAAGGCATCCGCAACGATAGCTATAGCCTTACCGGATGGAGGAGACGGTCTTGTGGACGAGAGTGAATCAATTACGACAACGCCTTGTGGCACTACAAGCGCATCTTCGTCAATCACCACCACCAGTATCTCACTGGCAAAGAGAAGACAGGCCAGCACGGCGACAATTTGTCATCTGGTGTGCGGAAGAGGATCCTGTGCTGGGCTTGCGTGTTGTCAGCCTGTTGCCCCTGATGCGCAGTGAGCTAGGTATTGTCAGAGTGTTACTTTTCGTAGCACTATATCACACCATCCCGGTCGTTGGATCATGATCGAATTCCCCAGACCACCCCTATTTTTTCATCTACATATTCCTGTACACCCCTTTTTTCCTTAGCCCTTTTCTGCATCAATTTTGTATATGGTCGTTATTGGGCAAGCACACAGGCCCCGATGGATGGGATCCGAGCCTACTATTCACTTCTTTGGTCCCTAGCCCATATTAAGAGATCTGGCTTCAAAAACTTTCTGTTCCCAACTCATTGGTTGGAGTGGCCTAGTCCTTCCGTCTTGCGGCGTAGCTAGAAACAAGTCATTTGTATCTCCCTCTTCGATTCACGAACATCATATAAACCCCTTTGCCCCATCTACATAATTTCCTGATTCCGGCAGGCATCATGTTGAAGTGATGGCACCTCTTATGGATTCAGAATGTAGCAGGTTCATGGACCTGAGTTCGCACAATGTAATGCTAGTGTGGCGTTACCACTTTCGCTTCCCTTCGTGTGCTTGGTAGTCGTGATGCCGGCCGGAACACGGCATTACTAGACAGACATTGGGTTTGTGAGGTAAGCCGCCGCTATATCTATATTTGTTTGCCTTCGCTTAGGCGGTGAGGACGGGAGCTTCATGAATTACCTAGGAATCAAATGAAGGGATCCTTCCTTCATTTTCATCACGTCCAACCCGTACATCCAGTAAGGTTTTGATTTTTGATTCACGACGGACGGACTATACGCCATCCGAAGCAAACACTGAGGTTCTGTTCATAGATACAATGGTGGTGTGGTAAGTGTACCTCGCTTGCCAGCCTGCCTCTTTCTGGTTCTAACGGCACACATGCGCAAGCAAGCAAGCAAGCAAGTAAGCCACAATCTACCAGATAAACGTATAGTAATTCTAGGTGATAAACGTGGTTGTGAATGATAAAATATATTTTCCACTTGTCTGGATAAGGACTTGGGAGAAAATTAGCAATTCATCCTACCTCGAAAATCATCTTGGACGCTTCACAACATTCGTCTTGAAGGTAACGCGCACCGACATACTGGCATTAAGCATATGCCCAGATAGAGCTCCCTTACCGTGTAAACTCGCGAATTTGCGATTAGGGAAAGCAGGCACAACGAAGGGTTGAAAGTGTAAAATAGCATCAATATATGCCCAATGTGCTGTGTGGGTGTATGCGGTTGATTAACACCTTCGACCCTGTCTTGTCTCATCTCGGTTTCCCGAGTTTACGTACGGTAGCCATACTCTATGTGCGAAGTGGGTATTTGCTGGGTCTCGCATCTAATATGCTGTTGTCTGCACATGTGCTGCGTGTCAATCTATATGATATGTATATCTCCTCACTTGACATACTGTATATGTACGATGTTCTGCATAGACGTTTGTGTCTGCATCTTATGTACACCAGACCATGTGTTGAAGAAAATATTTGTTCGATTCAAACGACTCAACAGCGACAACGTCCTCATGCACACGTACCAGCGTGGGGGTTGAAGATGAAGATTGTACTAATGTGTTGGGGTCCAGTAGTAGTATAGATGAGAGACAGTTGACCAGTGAAACGGAGTGATCAACACAGGAAGGGGGCGGCGAGGTGGGGAGTACAGTACAAACCCCTGTTAATGCAATTTCTCAATGCCGGCAGCCCAGAATCTTTGCAAACAGTGAGGCTTTGCAAAAGAAGGAGCTGTGCGCAGACCAGACGTAGGCCTTTTGGTCACTGGACCACCGCCGCGGGGCTTTGAAAGTGGGTCCGATTGTGTAAGTGTGCCCTCCCTCCCGCTAGTGTCGGACCCTTATTGATAGAGTAATACGATTTCGGGCCGTCAATCGTTGCAATTGCACATTGCCGACATACCTAGTATATATGTACACTACACCAGAGGGACTGCGGGCAGTCGAATCCTTGGTAAAAGAGGGGTTTTTGGATAAGGCAGTCTTTGAAATAACAGGTGTTTCTACAAAAACGAGAAACGAACATCAAACGGCACACACCTGCAGGGGCGTACCCCAACTGTTGATGTACATACCTGACTTGGTATCTGATTTTCAGCGCCATCTTCGCCTCCTGATTTCGTTTCGCGGATGCCGAAGGGTGGTAGACATTATGTAAGTTGGAGTTTTCGGATGAGACCCTGATGGCCGGGCAAAAGCGGCACATAATAAGAAAACCCAAGAGGGCGGAGCGGAGGGTTTGAAGAAGAGGCTCTGCGGTTGCACCTGTACACCTCTGCTGGGATGTGACTTGTCAACTGGGTACAGTGGCTCTACAAGAAACAGGGAATGCGCTGAGGACCAATCGACTATTTCTTGTTCCAAGAATAATGTTCTTTGCCACCCCCGAAAAAACACGCTAACAACTTGCGTTCCAGCAGAAGTGTACCTCTCTGACTGTGATGTACATAGTTTCCCCATCACACTGTGAAAATCTCTTTGCTGCAAGTAAACTCGAGCAACATCAATGAGGGGTAGCTAATACAGTTCGTCCAGGCGGGGGAAATTAGAACTCCGTACACTACTGACGAGCCTTGACGATCACGTCAGCCTTGGTTTCCTCCTTGGGTGATATTCATACGCCTTCTTGTCATTCTATTGGTTGGTGTGCCATTGGTTGTGCATGTCGCAAGGGCCTGGGACCTGTGTAAATCCATCGGCCTTGGAGCTCGCGAGGGGGAAGGGAGGGGCCCTTTTATTTTTTATTTTTTTTTATTGATGTGGTTGTGTGGGCACGTGAGGGATACGTCGAGCTGGTGGAAGATGAGCTCTTCCCGTTGTGAAAGGTGAGACAAATTTGACAAATCTAGATCTAATGTAGTATCGGGCGGGTAAGGCATGTCTTTGAATCGCTGCTCAGATGGGGTCTCCACTTGGACGTTCTTTTGAAAGCGAGCATGTAGACTGCGAGTCACATCGGATAATGGCAAGTTTCATGCTGTAGTCGAAATTGAAGCGAGATCCCGTGTTCTTTCTTCCCGATGCTCCCAGATCTTGGAAGGTATAACTGGTGAAGTCAGGTCTCGGCAAGCATGCGGGATGCTATAGACCACGGTTTCGAAATGCCTACGTCGAAGAGTTCCCATCATGTGACGGCAGACGTGTCAGGACAAGCTGTAGTGTAGCAGCTGATGCGGAACAATCCCGGGGTTAAAGTATTGCGAGGGGTGGCCGATAGCGGTATGTAATATAACGTTGCCAGACTTGATCGTCCAACAGCCCACCTGGGTTGCAGTCGTGTGCAGTCGTGAAATAAGGACGCGGTCCCATAAGCGCGACCTAGGGTAGAGAAAAGCTACATACCTACCTAGGTACGTAGTTCACCTCAGGACGCCCATTTCGACATTGGATCACGCCGGCTAGCTCCAGGTACCAGGCAGGGCCCGAGTTCGGTCCTCGCGGATCTGAGACCACAGTCCTCGGCGATCGAAGCCGCCTCAACGTCGTGTGCGAAACTGAAGCAAGCGGTTTAGCTGCTTGGTTGACGTGGTCGGGATGAGAAACGCTTTGGATTCCAGGCATACAATGTACCATGTAAAGTTATTTGCCAGGCGCCGGTGTGGGCCAGTCTGTAGAAGTGGATGGACATACAATTGAATTTCAATGTCGAGCTCTTCGGCATCTGGACGACAGCAAGGATATGTAGAGACGGGACTGGGGAGGGGTCATCGGCTGGAGCGGAGGTGGGCTTTTGGTGGGGACGCAGAGTCCAGATGTCGTACAGAAACCTACATAGTACTGCATAGTACATGCAGCTAACTTCCGGTACTCAAGAGTACTTTGCATAGACAATGCCTGTTGTGAAGATCTGAGGTATCGATCACGTAGTGCTGATATGTGCCACCACCTCAGTGTCCGCCGAGCGCAGCGATCACTTGAGGGCGCTTTCCCGGGCATACTGGACTCGAGTGTCAGTGAGGTCACTTGATCCGTTTCGGGTAGGGTTGCGCAGTCCTCTTCGCAACAAATTCAACCCTAATTGCCAGAAGGCCCATTGTGTTTCGCCCTATTGCATCGAGGCTTTGCTGGAGCCTCGAGTTCAAGGAAGCCTTGAGGTTCAGTTCCGTTGGAGGCTGGTGCAGAGCGAGGCGGGTGTTGGGGACCCCTCGGCGTTGCGGTGCGCTGCAAAGTGCTGCCAAGTACCCGGGCTGCCAGTGCGACTCCAGTGCGACTTCCCAGTGTGACATTGCAGTGAGTGCGGTTCTTGACCTGGGCTACCTAGGTCTTGGGGCCCGCGTGGGCTTTTGAATTCGTTGAGCTGGAACCTGAAGAAGGGGCGTGGGAGCCTCGACCGGATTTCACACGTCGTCACCGCCATTCCGAACCCCCGCAGGTTCCATTCGAGTGGGCAATCGGTCCTCTGCGAGTCTCGGCGGGGAGTCTTGGTCTCGACTACACATTACAACAACAACAACAAAAACAACAAAAACAACAACAACAACAAACTGGCGAGGTACTTAAGCTCCCTGTCGTCGCAACGTGTCTGTAAGAAAACAGAGGAAACAGCAGCTGTCATTCCACCGTCCCTGCTCCTCCAGGTGCCCCGCACGCGTGCCATCCATCTTGTTCGAATCAAGAGGAACCTGGTCGTCGTGGATTACCGATTACCATACCCTAACATTGCCCTGTTACTTTCACAACTCGGTAAGTTTCCAATGACTTCCACTTCCCGTCCGTTTCTCGGCCCCCGTCCCTGTCCCGAATAGCCTCATCCACAATCTGCAGTGTGTATACAGTATCGAGTGTACCTAACTGCGTCCATAGCATACATACCACACTTCACTGCCGAGACTTAGTGGCCGCCGCTATATACGCTATATACCTGGCAGATCCTTGGCTCACTGGGCCCATTCTATCCCATCCACTCACTGCGTTTCCTCGGAGCGCCTCACCACTTTTTGCGACCGAGGAGCCGCGACGTCCGGATCCAGTCCTAGACTAGCCCAGATCACCCACGATCTCGTCTCGCGCCCCCGTTCTTCCTCCGTTCCTCGTCGGTCGTGGGTGTCGGTCGTCAAGGCCACGCACCACCGTCTAGCTATCGACAAGTCCATCGTCATCAACTCTGGGATGCCGATTGCTTTCCTTTTCCATCTTTTCACGCGCACAACGCAGTAGATCAACTGTCTGAGGCTTCTTAGCCCTGTTCATCAGTGGACAACCAGTCCGACCCAGTCCGCACGAGGATTGTTGAAAAGCTTCAAGACAATTTGTCTGTCTGGTATTTGATCTTTGCGCCGAATCCCACGGAATCAAGTCATCTGCTTATGAGGACGACTCATCCCTTCTACTTGTTTTGTTGATATCCTTACTCTCATCACTCTTCCGTATGGCGACCGCACCGCTGAGAATGCAACCCCTTCGGCTGACCGCCCCTAGAGGATGCTGTTGAAGACGATCACTCCGTGACTTGTCTGCATCTTGACCATTCTCGCCTTGGACTGACTGTTTATACAAAGTCGAACAAAACTGTCAGCTCCATCTTTTCTTCCCCAAAGAATGCTCGGGAAACTCTTTAACCTCGGTGCTGTGTCGGGCGCCGGAGATACCGCTTCCGCCCAAACAGCTTCCTACAAATCTATCACCTCCCTAGATTCCGTTCAAGAAGACATACACACTCGAAATCTTCTCTTTCCCGATCCGCAGGACTTGTTCGAACAGCGTCTTAACGACGTTTTCCCCCTATCAAGCGTCTCTTCTGTCACTGCGAGCCCCTCGACCAATGCCTACGACTACAATGGCAGCATTGAGCTCGATGTGCGCGACGTTCGCGTCATCGTTATGCAGGATGCTCTAGGCTCCCTCACCTCTTCCCTTCTCTACGACAGCCAGTCGCCGCCTACCGTTCAAAGCAACCCGTTGAAGGGCGGTCCTTCATCCCTCCATTCTGTTCAAGATAGCCGCCGCAACCCGACCTCCCCGCGGAAGCCCAGCATCAGCCATACACAACGTCCTATGGTCATCCAGTCCAACAGCCCCAAAACACGACAAGGTGCTTTTGAGAATCGAAGTTCCCTTGGCCGAACTCCGGGCCATGGTCACTTCGAATCCGACTCCCAACGCCACATGCGCGAGTATCGCGAGGAACTTGCCACCTTCTCCAGCTGCATCTTCGGCAATTCTGAACTCATGGCATACAAAGGAACATCGACAAAGGTTCACGTGGTACCGACAGAAGCCAAACAGACCGACTCCGGTTCAGCGTTTGCTGACAGGCAGAGCTCCATGGGGAGGGCAAGTATGAGGTCGAGTCGGCTCTCACAATCATTTTCGTCGGAGACCATGCCGTCTTATGCCGGAGCTCAGAGCGCTACTTCAGCAAATCGTGTGCCAGATCGTAAGCGAGTCCTCGTCACGAGACTGTTTCCCGTGAGTCTACCTGTTGAGGAAGATATGATCAGTCCTCGTTCCTCCTTTACCGAACAAAGCACGGGTTACCCGTTCCCACAGGCCGCCGAGGATGTCAGAAATAAAAAGAAAAAGGCGCAGCCCAAACAGAAGAGAACTCCCATGTATGCGGTTGCATTGGTAATCAACCTTCCTCAGTCTTCCCCTCATTACACGCCCACCACAACGTCGAGGCAAGGTTTTCGGGAATCCAGTTCTTACCAAGAACAGGATTCGTTTCCTTCTTCCCTTAATTCAATACGACCCTCGGGTTGGACTATGGTTGGCCAGGGAGGGTATGGATTTGAGTCTTTTGAGACGACTTTCGGCAGTGACACTGAAGACCAAATCGATGTTATCACACAACATTGGGACATAATTATGAGGACGCTGAATCAGCTGCAATCTGTCGTTGCCAAGGTCATATTATCGATGCTTCTACAGGCGGATTTTGCTTCCCCTGATCCTCTTCCGGCTTACATCCCCTCTCAGATCGCACAAAGCCAATCAAAAGCTGGACGGCGCAGCGGCGATCCACCTCCACCCAAACCACCCAAGACAAATGCAAAACACGTTACACTACCTCCAAACTGTCTTCTCGAGAATCGACACATCAGCCGGGAAACGGACTACGCCAAGGCCAGGATAATCGATGGTATTCGAGCGGCGCGAGTTGTCACTGGACAGAACCGATGGCCCATTTGGCGGGAGGAAGCTCGTTGGGTGGCCAGATGGGCTGGCGGCAAAGAGCAGGGCTTCTTTTTTAACTTACTTACAGGCTTTCTTGCGACACACACCGACTGGCTGCAGGCACTAAGTCCCCCATCCTATCGGCGTCGCTATTGTATACAGCAGAAAGGGCGCATGGACGTAGATGCGTCGGTTCCCAATCGGACTATTATTGTGGCCCAAGATAAAAGCGTTGCGCGAAGATTACTCTTCTTATTGGCTGCATTTTTGCCGGCATCCCAACAGGTCCCCGGTGTCCGTCCACATCGGCCAAGTACCGCTGCTTCATTCGGGACATTTTCGCAGTCTCCCCCGTCGCTTGTTGTGCCTATCCTTAAGGAGGAGTCGCTACGGAGGAGGATCAACCGCCGTACGGGTCCCGGGCGAGCATGTCACTCGCGGAATTTTAGCTTGCAATCGCAAGGCGCACGTGCTGCCGCAGTTCCGACTAACTTGGCGCACTTGAGTATGGAATCGAGGCACGAGAGGCGAGCTTCCGACGCTAGTTCGATACGGACGACCCATCTTCCCATCCGAGGCAACGACCTGACCATGCAGAAAAGTAGTGCTGCTACAACTGGAGCTATCACCCCTGAAATGAGCATCGCTCATTTTGCCATGGTCCATCGCGCCGACTCTTTTGCTAGTACTCGACCGGGCAGCAGTAACAGCCTTGCTGCCGACGACCTCAAGCGTATCTCACGGTCTGGCAGTGGAGGTTCGCAGAGCTTTATGACCAGTGAGCAACGACAGACTTCGAGGTGGGGGAGTGTGATCAGCGGCTTATGGAGCACGCGAAGAAGAGATTCCATCGTCTCAGCAAAGCCTCGCAGTGGCAGCATTGGGCAAAGTGAAGCTACAACCTCTCCGATGAGGAAGGACACGGATAGAGCCCCCATGTCACCCCAAACACCTGGAAGGAGCTCTATGCGGCAGCCTGGGGACGTCCCAACACGTGCCGCTCTGGATCAAAGGGGAAATCCAAAATCACCCGTTGCGGTGCCTGGAGAGAACCGAAGCTTCTCAGGCCAAACCACTCCCGGACAGAAGCCACAACGGATTCCCGATCCTTCAGGTGCCTTTGAGTCTCCGGTCAAGACGTCCATTAACGATGACGGAGTCATTGACGTCGATATCCCTTTCCCTGACTATCTTGCCTCTTTCGAAACTGCAGTGAGTTCACCATCGAGCAGTGGATACCTATCCAACGCTGGGTTTGGTACAGCATTCGATACATTTGAGCAGTCGTCGCGCGTTTCTGTCGATGCGGATGGGCCATTGAATGCTGCTGGTTGGCTGCAAAGTTACCATCCAGATTTCGTACTCCAGGCGATGCCGGCGCAAGAAGGCCTCAAGGAGCAGATTAAGGCCTCGATGGAAGCCGAACCACCTACTACGTGGGTCCCCAATTCGTCTGAAAGTGCCACGGAGAAGTGGGTGGATGTCAGCACAGCCATCATCGCCGATAGTACTACGTTCACGATTACGCGAATACGATATCGTCGTCTCGTCAGGGCCAGTTTTGGTAGTGGCCCGAACACGCCTGCCACTATGACGCCGGTAGCTGCCTCCCCAGCACCCACACTTCCGTCGCCTTCCCCTTTCGATCCATACATCAAGGATGAATTTATCGAAGAAACATTACTCAGCTCAGATGATGCCTTGGTAGAAGCTGTGGAGAAGGTCATTGCCACCGCCGGCGATATCAGCAAAGGAAGCTCCAACTGCTCTTCGCGCTCAACCAGCAAGCTGCGAGAGAGGAGTGACAGCACGTCGTCCCAGCAGCACCCAGAGGACACCTACCATCGCCCTAGGGAGCTTGTTGTTCCCCAGGAGGTTCCTAGATCACAATGCAAGACAGTGATCTTGTCAGCTCTAGAAGAAATCATTCGTGAAGTCATAGAAGACTTGGACCCAAGCTTAGGACAAAGGACGGCTGGCGGCAAGGAAGCTAGCTCGGGAATAGGTCGAAGGCGAGAGAAGGAGAACATGGAGGCCCAAAGAATCCCAGGAAGCATACTGCGAGAGGCAGTCAGGAAATGGCGTGAGAGTGTTGATATGGGGAGCGAGTGACTTGTGAAATTCTGTTGATACCCTTTTGTTTTTCATTTCTTTGTCATCTGTTGTTGCTGGTTTCCCCGTCATGCTGGCACCCGCATATTTAACACGACTTCATTAAGCCACAACAGCATCTATTGTTAGCAATTTTATCACACCGCAACAGGGTCCGTTTGACACCCCCACCAAATAGCGACCACTATCGGTTGTCATACCCGTCTACATGCGAGTCTGCAAGTGGCACCTCCGAGCGCCGATCAATGTATTACTAGTGACGTGCACACACCATTCAATGTCCAAGCTAGAACTGTCATGGAAAGGGAGTTTGGGCAAGAAGGAAGCATGGAAGGAAGCGTGGGAGGAAGTGGGATAACGGCGTTGAGTGTTCAAGAAATCTTGTAACATGTAGCCTGGGCAAGAGTTTGATCTGATGATACACCACGATGAATATATCTTCCTGTTTGTTTCAACTGTTAGCATTTGATACCGACAGTATATTCCATCCCGTGCACTGCTTCAAGGCAGCTAGTTAGCTAGTCTAATTCATATGTACCACATCATAACGTGCACTACTGCGGCATCACAATGAAAAGCACTATGTGCACTCACCCAAACCGACGGTACAGTACACAACCTACATGCGCCCTCTTCTCCTGAGACACTCGCCGACAACTCGCCACCGACGCAAGATGTTTCTTCAACCATGGCGTTTGGAGTCCAAAGATCTTGGAAGGTTAAAGACAAAGGCACTTTTTCTGGTAGATGATGTTAAAAGGTCGCTTCTAGCTAGGTAGGTACCTACCTACTTGGGTAACTGTATTAGCAGCGCCATTTCTTCCAACCCGATCGCCACTTAAACTTGCGGTGTCAGTGTGCATTGAACTGGACGAGACTGGACTTCTCAACTCCAAATTGACCGAATGAACCTTTGGAAATCAACGAGCACTTCAAAGTTACCAGAGAGCAGCTTCGGTTATGAGAGTAAGCGCTCATAAGTAGGTACTTTATCTGTTTCGTTCCCGCCCACCAATCAGTAGAGCTACTTTGAATGTCCAGTGACCTCGAGAGGCTCATTAGGTAGCCTGCAGTGTGCGAAGTTAGGAAGTTCTGTTTTGTTCACTGTTGTGGCAGATGCCATCGAGTTTATGGCACTGCCGCCAACTTGAATACCTCTAAATACAAGTTCATCGATCTACAGTATCGATCCTGACAGTTGGTGGGCCGGGTCACTTGCTGGCTACCTCTACCCATACCTCTACCGTCGGGTGCTCCTTCACAACTTGGAGTTAGTATGCGCAGTGAGTGAACGTAGGCGTTCAGTCTGAGTGAGTTGAGTAGTAGTGCAGTGTTCTTTCCTTCGAGGCGGGTTCATCGCTTCTCTCCTCACGACCCACTTTGCTTCTTCGTACCTCTACTTAGACTGTGACCGCCAGCTCCTTCCTGTCCGAGTCCCTTCAAGTTCTCACTCTTCGAGTGCATCGAGAATTCCTCTTCCTCTCCCTCTCTCCCCCACCGCTCACTTGCACCTGGACACTCAGCTCACCAATCACACACACTACATACCTACCCAGGTACCTACCAGTCCAGTAGAGTACCGCAGCCTATATGGGGAGAAGACCTTACTTAACCCAGAGGCAGGTTTGGTTTTCTTCTTCTGCTCAGAAACCGTTGTAAACCATGAATGGTGGAGCAACCGTTCTTGCCCTGCAACGGTCGTGCCTTCCTAACCGCTTAGCAATCGATCGCCCAACAACCGTACCTACTTGGCAGTTCTCACAAGGTACCTAGTACGTACCCGGGCTATGTAGACTGTGACTGCCGGCTACTTTACAATGCAGTGTTCGTTCCTAAAGTTCTTTCCTTCAAACCCTCCTCGCTTTTCTCTCTTTTCGGCCGCCGCTCTTGCTAGAACACCGCCGGCTCTAGGCTACTCACTTGTACCCTCGTCCCCCCAACAGTAGAGGTAAGTAGGTACCTCTAAAGAGGTATTCGTTAGTGACCCTCTTTCTTAAGTATGGTAAAATCATACGCTCTACTACCCCTTCTAACAGACTTCCTGGATCTGTACTTCTAGTCCCCGGGCGACTCTTTTTTTGAGTTCACTGCCATCGTCCGGTACAGCGAGTAGAGGTAGTATCAAGCAGACCGGACCCACAAGCACTCGCTCCGTTCAAATCATGGAACCTTTCCCACTTTGATCCACTGCAGCTCTTCAGCTTCCGTCCATCACTCTCTCCATCGGTCTCCGTGCCTCCTTCAATTTTCCGGCTTTCCTCGTCACAGTAAGCTGAGGTACTGAAGTACCACAAACTAACCGTACACACCACCATTACAGTACCGTGACCTCAAAAAGTCATGATACCGTAGATGCTGAGTACATCGCTACCGAATGGACATGCAGTGCCGCATGCCGTGAATTATGAAACGCTCACTTTGATTCAGTTCCAGACCCGTCGTACTCATCACCACTTTGTTTTCCAGATGAGTGTCCTGTTGTCATAGGTAGAGGTACCTACACGTGGACATGACTGTTCAGAACATACCTAAGAACCAGATCAATTCGAACCATCCGCCACGAACGTTATGCTCCCTAAATTCAAAAATAGTTGGATGGCCAATCAATTCTCATCACCTTTTTGCCTCGCAAACCAACTGCTCATCTCGTCTCGTCAAATATCCAATGTCCAAAAAATGTCATCTCATAACGTCGTAAAGTAAAGACATGATAACTACCACGGCATCCTACTCCCAATCCCTGTCGCGGACATCGCGACTCCGTCCTGTATAAGGAGCCCTGACGTGCCTAATCCGCTCTCCGGCATCCCTGCAACTATTCAGCATCACGCACTTGACTGTAAGACACCCTCAATCAGCGGAGGGCCAGGCTCAACATACTTGTTCCATTCCTGCACTCGTTCCATACCTTTGCTGGGACCCCCTAGCCCAGCAAGGACCGACGGCGGGAGGTCATCTTTGACGTGTTCTTTCGTCGCCTGGCCGGACCGGCGTCTCCCGCTTGGAGTACGTGCCGGAATTCCGCCCTCGTAATACGCCGGGTACCGAGGTTGTTGTGGTGATTCGTGGTACGAGTGGTGTCTTGCAGGCGTTGCCATCCTGTCGCGGTCCGACGATCTAGTGCTCCTACTTGTTGTATAGAAGTCATCTTCTGTCAGGTGTCTCTTCATTCCAGGGGGTGGTGGTGGTGGCGGTGGAGCCGCGCTGACGGGAAACCGAGACGAAATCGGGGCAGTAGCAGCGTGGGAAGGGGGTGGTGCAGCCATCATAGGAGGAGCCGCCATGGTAGAGTAGCCGGGGCCTTGTCTAGTGTCTGCATCAAATCTGCTTGCAAGCTTCCGCTTTTCGAGCGACGGTGTCATCGTTCTACGCCTGCTGGCCGAGCGGATCGCGTCTCTCTCAAACGAAGGGGCGTGGCGCATGTCGGGAGAAGCATCTCGGTGTCGTGATGAAGTTCGCTGCCTCTCCAATGATCGGGGCCGGAACTGACCTCCAAGCTCGGGAGGTACATCTGCCCACCTATCGGATGGATAGGCATGCCTAGGAAGTGACGGAGCCCGGAGCCTCTCCTTTTCAAGTGATGCATGGCGTGACATTCGAGGTCGCAACCTTTCCGGTGAAGGGGAACGCCGTCTGTCAGAGTCATGTGGGATGATAGCGTCCGTCCAGGCGTTAGTTGTTGGTCTTTCAAACACCGAGTGGGCAGGCGGCGGCGCCGTATGTCGGTGAACTAGAGGCGGCGGCACAGCCATGTCAGGTCGACGGACATAGTTTACGGGTTTCAAAGGACGATCTCTGTCATCCCTTCCTCTGCGATAGTCGTCGTCCACTTCTCGCTCGTCATACTCTTCGAATTCCCCGGGAACATGGAACCTACGGCTGAGAGGATCATCGCTACGTTTTTCTCGCAGACGATCCATCACCGGTCTTTCTTCGTAGCTTTGGGGTCGACTGTGCACCGCAGCCACGGGCCGTGAATGCCCGCCATTTGAACGGTACGTTCGCGGAGACTGTGCGTCAGACTCCAGCTGCATTGCATAGGTAAACGGATTCGATCGAGGGTCAGCTGTAAACAGTGTATCAAGCGGTTCGTTTCCTTCGATATTGAAGAAAGGGCAGTCACACTTTTTCCACCGCAAGCCACAGACCGTGCAGCAACGCGTATTGCATTGGCTATTTGTGAAGATTAGCAATTCAGCTGTCCAATAAGAGTAGAAGGCCGCTGTCTTACCAAGTGGTATAGTTGCGACCGGGTTCTCCAGGCAGAAGCTTTTTTCTACATCGACTGCAATGAGGCATGGCATCTGGTGGGCATTGAAGTGATTTATGCCACCGCCCACTGCAGCCAACACAGACCTCTGTACGGCAGTAGCGACATTCACCAAACTCCCTCCCATCTCGATCGAGGTGTATATCCTGGTCTCCGATAGGTGTACCGCACTTCGGTTCCGGACAGACCAAGCTACGAGGACGCCCACTCGCAAAGATTGAGGAATGAACAAACTTTCTGTCCCAGTCCTTCTTGAAGATGGGATCAAACAGATCGTCCACGAGCTGAGGCGAGATATAACGCTTGCAGCACATTGGAGGTTTCCCTACATGATCATCCATGAATGACAAGAAGCCTTGTTCGAGGCACAGACTGCACCAACGATGATCGCAGTCCGGCAGCTTGTGAGCTACTTCTCCTGATTGGCCACCGCATTGTTTGCAGGAACCACTGTGCAGCAAGTTAGATACTCTACTTATTAGAAAGAAACGGAAAAAAAAAAAAAAGACAAAGGGTCGAAAACTGAAACTAACGCTTTGCCAAAGCTCTCTCGAGCGTATGATTTCGACGAACCTCTCGGAACGTCATGATACGTGTTAGCGCGTTTGAGTCCCGGGTTGGGATATGCTTCACTGGGGTAATATTGATTCCTCGAAGATGAAGGGCCGGGGAAAAACTCGTCAGACTCATAGTCTTGCCTTGAAGGCCTAGCAAGCTTAGTTAATGGCACTCTTAATAGGCAGCTACTCTCAATGGCAAATAAATCTCACCTCTGAAGCCTAGGGTGGGACCGTAGGTCATCCGAAAAGTCCTGTACATAGACATCTTCCGCATCGGATTCTTCATCATCCAAAGCTTGGTGATCAAGGGCTCCTGAGGTTCTGATAAGCGCCCGCCTCATGGAAGGAGCCCGCGAAGGAGCCCGCGAAGCACCTCGTGATGGAGAAGACGGCCTGGACCGAGATTGAGCCCGAGATGGCGAGCCATGCCTTGAGGGTGAACGGCGGCGAGAAGGTGAAGCAGGTCTAGACTGATCACGAGGTCTGGATTGTGCGCGAGATCTCGATGGCGCACGAACGCGGGACGGTGAACGAGGGCGGCTTGCGGGCGCATACCCGTAGGGCCTTGATTCCCCTACCTCCGGCGTAGGTAGCTTGCGGCTCGGACGCTCGTGAACTGAGGGCGGAGCAGGCGGCGCATGAGGGATGCCATAGTGAACGAGCTTTTCGTCACCACCAGAATGATCAGTGAGCTGAGTTTCTCTATCGGATGACGACCTTGGAGACCATTTCGAGTCTGGCATAGAACGCTGTCGATTTGTTGATGGACTTCTATTACGCGGTGCGTCGTAGCGACTTCTGGACCGTGAGCGGGAATCATAGGCACGGCTCGCCGGCCGCGATCTGTTGTCCATGATAGAACGGGGTACAAAGATCTCTTCTGCGTCTTCGTCGTAGAGAACGGATGGCCGACGGAGTCTTGCTTCTGGAGGAAAAGTGTCGTCGTCACGAAGGTGCATGCCAGCACTGTGAGATACTCGGGGCCGGGTAGGGCGACCTATGTCAATGAAAGATGACGAAGAGCGCGCAGTGGACGATAATTCCTCAACGCTTGGGGCCCTTGTATGGCGAGGATAAGGTCTTGTATGGTCGGAGAAGTCGTCTGAGTCCTGGTGTCTCCCATGAGGCGACGGGGCAGAGGATAGATCGTCTTCGGGTGGCCAATCAACATCAGGAAAGGGCGAAGAGTCTTCTTCTTCTTCTGGCGTTTCTGGGTCCCTGGTGCGTCTTTCGCGCCTTGGGGTGCCCAGTGGCATGGACATGGGCATGTGCTTAGGCATAGACATGCTGGGGCGGGCATGAACGTGATGGAAAGACTCCATCCGCTCCCTTCGGTCCATTCGTCCCTGCATCAGCCTCAGCAAGGCAGCATTCGCCGATATGGACTAGAGACTGTGTGAGAGATGAGGCCTGAGAGGGAGGTCTGGCAGTAGCGGCAATTCGACGGAAGGCTAGACGACGGCCAGATGGTTGAGCTTGGTTGGGTAGCAAGGAGAATGGATGTCGATGGCGTGGATGGGTTTCCGGCTCGACCAAGTACGATTGGGCTCGTCTAAGTCGTGTCTAATGCAGGCTCGTTGCAGGATGGGTGCAGTCGAATGCACGTCTAGTCCGAATCGAGTGAGCACTTGTGCAGCTTCGTGGTGGGCTATACAGGCCGGATGGAATTGAGGCCTGATGTTGACCTAACGAGAATTGCCCCTCGCGCTGGAGGATCGAAAACCACCCCAGCGCTTGTGGTCAGCCCAGACATCGTTCCGAGTACGCAGCATGTAGGCATATTACACATGGGCATGACAGGGGGGGAGGGGGGCACACTGGCAACGGGAACCAGCAGAGCGAGAAACAGGGGGATGATAATCCGACTTGAGGTGACCGACAGGACCAGGGGACGAAGGCAACAAGGACCGCGTTTTTCTGGGCACCGGAAGACCTCTCAATCTCTTACACCCGACCAAGGGTTTCTCGCGAGAATGATGGAGGAACGGGATTGGGTGACAAGTGGAAGGTTGGCAGCAGAGTAAGACGACGACAAAGGATTCCGGGAGCATGTACATACGTGTTCAGCGAGGACGATGTGGGAAGCACAAGTTCTGCGTAAAAGCTCTGAAACTCCCAGGATCCTGTTCTGTTCCAAGTCTGGCGTCAAAGACGATGTTGCTGCCGTGATGAGTATGTGATGACTGGCAGCCTAGACAGTAGCGTTGCGGCAGAAGAAGGAATAAAGTGGATAGGATAGGTAGTCTTTAAAAAGATATCCGATGCTCCGATTGACTCTTCACGCCACTCAGAGACAGAGACACACATGAGCGAGAGGGGGGCCTAGGAGCGCGAACTGCATTGGAAGGGGGATAAAAGACGACCTGTCTGGCGCCGGGAAGCGACGATGCCATGCGACGCGATGCAAGTGAGAAAATGCGCGGCCCCGGCGGCCTGGAGGTTCTCTCCCTGCCAATCTTGTTTGATGTCTTGTGTCGTTGTTTCCTATCACTTCTCTTCTGTTGCAATGTCGTCTGGTGTTTGACGGGGAGCGACCTACCCACTTGATCAATTCGACCACCCTACGTGCTGCAACTAAAGCCATGGACAACTTGAATGTCGAGAAAACAAGAATCCCGAGACGAACGTCCGCCCTCAGAGTCAAAATGGGCCACTAGAAGAAAAGAAACGAGGTCCAAACCAAATCGTCTCACCATGATCACCGTTTCGTCGGCGCACCATATCTCCTCCTCGCCGATACTACCCCTTGCAACCCCTCGCTCGCAGCCCAGCAGCTGACAATCAATGCACGCCCGATGCCTGATTCAGTCCAGAAGAAGGTAGGATCTGGTTATCGTAGCGTCCCAACAACTGATACATATGTACGTGTGTTTTCACAAGTCAGAGTATTCACTTGGGTATAGTATAGAGAGTAAAATCTCTGATACCTATGAACTGCGATGATTCAACTGTTCTCAGTGTCGAGATCAACCAAGTTCTGGTCCGACGTGGTGGTGAGACGGAAGCCCAGTCAGACCGTGACGGCCTCCTCATACCGTACGTGTAGTGCCCGTCAAGTACTGCCGTGTGTGTGCCGCCGTGCGTGCGCCGTCACAAACAACAGGGAAGTCCCCCGCATTGGCAAAGACAACTGCGCTGCAGCGTTCCACAGCCGAACCACCAAAGCTCGGACCCTCCGTGACGGCTGCGGGACAAACGAGCCATTCACCCCACCGCTCGATCTCCATCCCCGCACTCCCTCTCCTCCTATCCATCCTCATTGATGTGACCTCGACTCCCGCTCCGCAACTGGGAGCGGAATGCTGCGGAGCTCCTCGGTTCCGGCACCGGCGGGGCCTCCCGTCGGCCAGTTCCAGTGGAGCTCCCCTTCTTCACTCGACAACCTCAACATCGGAGACATTGGACGAGCACATGGCCGGACCACAAGACGCCGTGATCGCCGAGTTCACAGGGAGTTGCAGTGGCCTCCCTGGCTGACCGGCGTCGAGATTGTAAACCCGCAACCGCGTCTACATAATAAACGTGGGTTCAAGGTGAAGGCCGGGACGACGTGTTACCAAATCCACAAATCACCGAGGACGCGACGAGTTTTGGAAAGCCCGACATACGTACCTGCATAAGCGTTGGCTGTCACCTCATGTTTCCCGTCCTTTTCATCGCTTCCCACCCCCACCCCCTTACACGCCGGCGGCACTCGGGTCTCGAAGCGACATATTGTCGCGAAAGACCGCTTTATTTAAATGGCTATATATGATTGGGAAGTTGACCTCGGTCTCGAGTTCGACCAATGCGAACAATAGACAAATCCCATAAATCATAGCAAAGCCCAAAAAGGGGAAAGAAGAAGTGGAAGGAGAAAATAAAAGGTTCAAACTGCGGCGGCGCAAAAGACGCAAGTCTACATGCCACTGCACGTTTTACGGCATTTTCCAAGACATACATACGCATACAAGCGCCGTGCAACCACCTACATATCTCCTTGACTGCCATCGACATCGTCATCCCTTTTCCCGACCACCTATATTCCCTCATGATGCGAAACGTACTGCAAAGCACCCACTAGTCTCCTTTCATGCTATCGTGGTATTAAGGGAAAAGAGGCCTGGGAGGAGAGACAGGAGGGTGCCTTTGCTCAAAATTCAGTTGAATGCTGTCTTCTGGCTGGGAAATATCTTTTATCTTTTCTTCAAAGGACATGACACGGAAACCCGATTACTGTAGAAGGTAGAGAGAGGGTAGAGGATAGCGGTCTGATGGACGCTCGTCAAATAACAGGGCGAGAACCACTCCTCACAAGCGTACACTTTGGTGTCCGAAATCCTGGGTTCTGAACCCCGAGCAGAACCGATCGTCACCAAATGGCTGTCAATGAGATGCAATAGTGAGTGGCATGTGCACTTTGGGGTAGATTGAGGCCTGCGGCTGAACATGCTACAGATGATATTTGGAGCAACTGGAACAGAGGTAGTCGTAAACCCATTCAACACCTCCATGTGTCCAGCAAGGACACTCCCATTTTTCGCTGATTTAGCCTTCTTTTGTCTGAGAGATAGGCAACATATAGTGTATGTAACTGAGTATACCCCTCGCTCCGCCCGCAGCTTTAGCCTACCCGCTTTAGTCTTGTCTTTCTTTGTTTTCTTTTTTTAAAGAAAAAAAAATCCATGCAACTCCCACCACCTACCGCAGGATTTTGTCGTAATTTCCATTAACAAGGGGACTGGAGTCACGTAGTTCACTTGCCCTGTTCATCTTGTTTCTTCCTGGCACCTGAAACTTTACTTGCCAGCCACCCTTTCGATAGAGGGACCATGGACGGGGCCGAGGACAGAATAACAGAGAAGGATAAAGCGCCTATGTAAGCCTGCAATAGTTCAGGTGTATGTTGAAACACTAAAAGGTTTTTCGTCAAGACTTGAAAGGTTTGCAAGAAGAGTAGTAAGGGATTGGGTATTGTGAAGTGTACGAGGTATCCTGTTTGTAGATAAACAGAGAAGAAAAGGTGAGAGACAACCAACCATCCCAACGAGGAGAGAGAAATAACAGAGAATCATACTATGGTACAGCTTCAACGTCCTCATTGAATTTGCATATGTTTTGGTCCCGTTTGCCGATGCCATCCAACACCAAAAGCCAGCCATAAGCAAGAAGTGCTTCCAGAGAAACGACATGACGAAGAAAAACTTTGGGCCTTTCATCTCATCTTTGTTACATGACTTTGAAAACCTTGAATGAATGCCATGAATTGTTTACAGGTGGTTGGTCGTCCACCGAACGTCGAGAACAGAAGGGCTGAAAATAACGTTCACTCTCAAGTTTCCTTCATGTATGTGTAGCAGCCCGTCTGCAAGTGTACAACTTTGGTGGTTGGTAGGTAAAGAAGATTTGCAAGTAATGATGATATGCGAAAGTCGCCCCCCTCTCGCTTCTTCCGGCCCGCCCATCAGGGAAACGACTCAAGGCCAATATTCGATATAATGTACACGCTCTCACAAACAGTTGCTGTCTGAAACAGGGGCAGAGAGGGGCAGAAAAATAATGGAACATTGGAAGAACATCAATAAAAGCCGAGCAAGGGTCAAAGAAGTGGGGTGTTTCCGGATTTTCGGCCCGTCGCATCCGCATCAATGTGCCATCCACAACACAGCCCATCATCAACCACAGGCAGATCGGGCACTGTTCAGATTCTTCTGCATTCAAGGTGTGTTACCCCAGGCCGTATGCTCCGGCTTCCACATACCTTGTTGCAAGGTGTTCTGCTTGGCGCTCCGTTGCTGGTCATCCACGTTTCTGGGAAGAGGCAAAGGGTGCTCGGCCTGTGCAAAGTCGTGAAGAACAAAAGAATGGGATTGTCGGTCGGCCGCTGGTCGGGGTTTCCAGTCAAGATACCACGTTGTAGCCAGCTACAACAGGAGTGTAAGAGATAGAAGTAGGTCAAATGCTCACAAAAACCGGCGTGCCCATAGTCAGAGCCATGGTTTGTCAGGCAAGACTGGTCGATGATCAACATTGGTATGATCTTCAGACCATTCGGTGAGCGCCCTTCCGAAGGCGGGGAGGCGGGCAGATGGTGTGAATGCAGTCCGGACACTTACTGGACTTGGTTGTGTATGAGCGACCCCGGATTATTTTTCACGTCTGCTGGCAGTACAGATCAAGCGAATGGCTGTTTTCGTCGCAAGAATAGATTTGATAGTCAATGCAGCCAACGACTCGGACATTGACCGTTTCAGACCTGAAAAAAATACATCTTGTACTGGCGTTGCATCCGTGGAGGACCAGATGCACCTGTAGCTTGTTTCGTGCCATGACAGATTACCATAGGTTCAACTGCTGGTGGCTTGACTTTTAGGTGACTGAAAGGTTTGGATGTGGCGAGTGTGATGGGACCGTTTGACCTTTTGTGTCTATGGCATCGGGTGTAGTAAAGCGGTTCCTCAACCACTCAGAAACGTTCGTCGCCTAACCTCCGCTTCCTTGATAATCTCCGCCGAGAGGCTCAGACTGGGTGAGAGTACGGAATAACGCTCGATTTCCATGACGACATCGTTGATGATCTGGTCGATAACGTCGCGGTGTGAGACCAAGCTGACCAGAATACTGTTAAGTGACGGTGACATAGTGGCACCCATAATCAGAAGTGTCTGCGATACAATCGAGAGTGCCCCTTGCCAAAGGTACGGCATGTGTCCGGCGTGACTGCGGCCTTTTGTTAGATTGAGACGTAATAAAAAGGAAAAGACAGCCAATCAAAACCCGAATATTAAGGGGCAAAGACTTACTGTGCACTGATATGCTCCAATTGTCTGATTGAAGCCTCCAGACACTTTGTGCACGCGTCACGCACTGAGGGGTCCAGTATTGCCTGTTCATTGTCGAGGACTGCGAGAATGTATGGCCGGTAAATAATGGTCCGGCAAGCAAAGAAGCGCAACCGCAACACCGTCTGGACAGGATCTGGGAGCATTGTCCGAGTAAACGGGAATTGCAGCGGTAGAGGTAGACTCTCGTACCACTGCGTTAGTTGGAAATCCAACTCGGTCACGATGGGTTCGAGACTCGTTGTAGAGGCCAAGGAGTCCTTGGAGTAAATGAGCTGGCTGACGCGGTTGAGTAGTCGCCGAAGTGCTATCTCGGCGAGGAAATACCACAAATCATCGCGACCAACTGCCTCTTGCTCATCCCCCTCGAAGCCACATGGCAGACCAACATTTTCTTCAAATGCAACAACACCAGAATGCGGAAGGTCCAGCTCGGCGAGGAGGTCGCTCTCGAACAGCAGAGCATTCCAGTAGATCCTTTCACTCAGTTCCCTTTGGTCGACAGGCACCCGGTTCGGCGTCATAAGGAGGAGCTGCAACTTGGTACTTGTTGTGCAGAGAAGGTTCCATGCTTCCAGGGGTCGGACGAGGTAGAATAGGTAAGCGGCAGCTAAAAGGTGGCATTGCGCGGCGAGAACGCTGTTGGAGGTCATCATGCCCGGTAGCAAGGCCCATGCGGCCGTGAAATATTGGAGGCCCGGGGGATCCTCATGTGGCACGATCCTGGATATGCTCCCCCGTAAACTTGCCTGACCGAGAGCCAAGACGAGAAGCACAATACAACTTTCTGGTCCTTCCCTGAAACCGTTCGAGAGGGCGATACGATAGTGGCTCCTCCATGTATAAGGGTTGACACAGGCGTACCAAACGTTGACACGATCAAAATAGGCTTCGATGTAGGCGGAAGTGTTGGAGAGGTCCACACAAGGGGTCTTTGTGAGCGAGTGGAGTGGCTCCCTGGCCATTTCGAGTTGGAGGAGAATTTGTGGGTCGTAAGGTCGTGAGACGAGATCCCGGATCATGGGCCATTGCAACAAATGAAGGGCGGCATTGGTGTGGACCTTGGGCATTGTTGACAAGCTGTTGGTAGCGGTGGCAGACCATGTGCCCAAGCCTCCGCTGGGGATCACCGAGACAAAGCCGGCGGCATCGGGATTTTGCATCATCAGGTTGTCACCACTCAACCCTGTCCCGTTGCTCATCCCCGGGGAGTTATGGGATAATCCTAGGCCATTGGTATGACCGGTTAGGCCCATGTTTAATTGCAGCAGACTTTCTATCCTGTTGAGGCGTTCGAGGATGAGCTTGTCGCCGGCATCCAGCTTGATACCGGGCTCGCGATATATGCACTCGGCACCCAACTCTGTGCACAGCTTGCATTTTGGTTTTGTGCCGTCACACCGCGACTTCCTCGAGCGGCATACCTCGCACTGTTCAACGAAATGTCAGCGTGTATATTCACCACACTAGATTTTTCCACTGCGCCGGAGCAGAGCCCAAACATACCGCAATGGTTGCCCTTCTTCTAGGGTAGTCGACACCAGCATCCGTATTTCTTCTTTTCAGCGGATTGGTGCTCTCTTCACTAGGAGCCTTTTGAAAGCCATTAGAGACATTGACATTGTCAGGCCGGTTTTCGGACGACTGCGAGAGATTTCGGGCTTTCTGGGCCGATCCAAGAATACCTTCCCGGCTGAAGTTGGGAGCACGGGCAGACTTGAGAGTGGAGGGTGACTTGACGGTGTTGACCCCATTGGTAGTGGGTGCAATTTGGGGCGAAGGTATTTCGATTGTGAAGTCCCGATTCGGCAGAGGGTATTGCCTTACAGCGTTGGGAGCAGCCTGCGCGGCCATGGTCATGCTGCCCACTACCGAAGCGGGAGAGTCGCTGTTGGAAGACGGCGACATGTCGTATGCAAGCGGTCAGGGTCTGCTTGGTAGTCGACCGAAATGGACAGAAGACAGTGATGTAATGTCGACCCTTTGTTTGCCCACAACACCTCAGCCAGCCCGAGCCACGACCACTTCAGCATGAACCAGAACACGGTTGAATCGTTGTGTCGTTGGCGACAGGTTAAGACGCGACTGTCTGTCAAACTAGAGGCCCTCAGACATCCACCGTGTGTTTCGATTACCGAAAATGAGGACTGCCGTGTATGAGTGGGCCGTCTCGTGACTGATACCTAGTCGGTATGTTCGTTTAGTAGAATGCGGATAGAGGAGCTGTCATGTTCGCAGCAGGGGTGGTGCGGATGTAAGGAGGGTTGGGGGAAGGGTGAAGAAAGGAGTTACCCAAAGCTGTGGGAAACGTCGGATTCATATCTCGTCGTACGGGACGAGCTTCGCTTGCAGATATGAATGGTAAGCAGCAAGTCCATACAACCAAGGTCAAGGTACCCGCGGATCTACTTGGTGACGAGACTGAGCTTCTCTTGGGTGTCTCTCTTTTCTCTCTGCAGCGCGGACCCCAGACCCCCGGTGGCTTTGAGTCAAGCCAAGCCGGGCAACTAACTGAGCACCCTATAGGCAGAGAGAGATGGGACGGACCCCTTGACGGACCCTAGACGACCCTGTCTGAGCCGGAGCCTTTACTGGCCTAGTGTGGCGGGAATTGGTTACCACCAACCGCAGCCAACCCCTGAGAGCCTTGAAGCCTCGGTAGGTACTACAAGTGTATGTGCTGCGAGGAAGGACGGAGATTGTACGGTGAGACGGGTGGAGGAGGCGAGCAGGTAGGCAGAGGAGGTAGGGGAGTAGATAAAACCAAGGAGTAGAAGCCGGAGGATGGGATGAAAGACAACGAACCTGTGTTGCTGCGTACACTTGACCAACACTGTCACGAACTGAGACTGAGGCTGGAGCAGCTTGGGGTGCACGGCCAAATCCAATGTTGGGATGAGAGATGAAGATGAAGTTGAGATTGAAGCTTGGAGATCGCGATGGATTGAATCATGCCTCTACCTATGGTAGTCAGTGTCTGGGGGATCGGACGGTGGAGGTAAGAAGGTGGAGACTGGCTGATGGTGCCGACGGGAGGAAGGTGGAGGAAGGGCGGGGGAGGACTGGATTAGTACTGGAGTCACTTCGGGCTGGCGATGGACGGGACGGACTCGGGGCTTGCGAATATTACGGTACTGCGTATTACACTCGGAGTGTACGGTACACAATAGCCAAGAACTGAAGAGTTGTGTGGAATACGCTTAAAACTCGCTCGACTGTGCCTCCAAGGTGATGGCGTCTTTGCGATTAAAGCAGACACAATCGCCGGGTTTTGTTGTTCAACCTTGATTGCGAGATCAGTGTGCTTGTCGTAGTTTTGTGCCTAGGTAGCCAACCATTTGTATGTGCACGAGTTCTGTGCTTTGGTTGTGTCAGTCCAGATTACCTCTGTTCAAATTGCTTAGTTGGACCTGATATTGGCACGAGGTTTTGTATCAGTACTTGTCGTATGAATTACACTACTATGCAGTACACTACACTACTCGTCAGGTCTACAAAATCGACCGTCTGACTAGTGGGCGAGCCACTAGTCAGGGACAGCGATTCGTACATGAACAGCGATTCGTACCGGATTCTTGTACCGAGACGGTATATGGTATGCATGCATCGAACATTCAGCTCGGAGGGGTAGAATGCATCTAGGCCATACGCATATGCAGGTAAACCCGCTAATCGGCTTAGTGTAAGCGACTTTTGTACCAAGGGTTTTTCCTAGCCTATACAAGTCGCTCCCGCGGTACGAATCGCTGTTCATGTACGAATCGCTGTCCCTGACTAGTGGCTCGCCCACTAGTCAGACGGTCGATTTTGTAGACCTGACGAGTACAGACATCTGAGACCGGATCGACCCGACTTGGAGAATTCGCGTCATTCCAAATTCCCATCAACAAGTGGATACTGATGGACGTGATGATTCTGTAGTCATACGTCATTGTACTCCATCTGACTGATGATGGAAGCAACCTGCTATAGTGTACACTACGGTAATTGATGAGGCGGGCCAACAACAGTATCAATTCCCTTTAGTTGCGAACCGAAGCAGATGTCGGGAAGAAATAGTAGTGGAAGCGTGGAAGGTCAGGGCATGGCCACTCACATCGGGTGGAATCTCAGAAGTTTGCGGAGAGGAACCGTTAACGTGTGGAGAAAGTCAAATACTTACCCTAGAAGTGGAAGGTTGGGGACAACGGGATCCGCACGTCCGTATGGAAACCCACCTTAGGTAAGCAGTGCGTGCAGTTGCAGCCAGTCACAGTGGCCATTTCGCACCCCGGATATCCAGCTCTCCAGCAGACGAACCCCAGGCTCCTTCCCCAGCCCAGGGGCATGAAGGCGGCACGGCCACATGTGCGGGGGAATCGACGAAAGAACGGCAGGCACAACGTCTCGCTGGCTCGCTTCAGGTTGAAACAACTAACTTGAGATAGTGGGAGAAACCTAGGTACCTCCCACTTGTTAAATGTCCTTTTCCACACTGCACATCACACTACACTACAAGGTGTCTGGACAGATGCGGGGAGAGAGACCCACCAGCAAGCTGCCACAGGGAAGGACCCGGACGGAACTTCAAACTCCAACCAACTAACAATTCAACTCAACGTCCTCAACTCGAGTCCATCCGTTGTCGTGCTACTCTACTTGCATGAAAGCCTTTCAGTACATCTTGGAGACTGCTTCAGTCCGGCCAGCATTGTGCATCACGCAGCTCGCACTCCTAGTAACAAGGGTGACGGTGATCAAGGCCATGCGGACGAGGTTTGATGATACTCGTAATGTACCTAATCGTGGATCAACATATTTCTCCCCCCCTACGGCTCTCGGTACTACACGCTAGCGCCTGGCTGTTCGGGTATTGTAGTGTTTATTGATTGTATGCACCCTTCTTGATTCGTCCTTCACGTCCCCTTCTCGGCGTCACCACAGGGGGGGGATCACCAAAAACGCTCCGAAGCAGCATCTGCCATGAGCTCCCACTGTCATGAAGGTTGTACAATGGGCCATGATAGAGCTGCGTACCACATTCCGACACGAACGACAACACGTAATGACCCAGATAGAGATGCACATTCGCATAGGCACACCACCTCAACCACATGCGTTCGAGCCCACTTCTCGAGGTCGCCATTTGAAACCACATGGAAGTCCATAAGGCTTGCCTGAACCCTGCGTGTCGCAATTTAGCATAAATTCGTCAACCGAAGGCGTCGGTCCTGTCGAATCTTCCCCACCCGACCAGCGTGCGTGTCTCACCCAGAACACCACACCCACCCTTCCGAGCCTCCACTCCTTCCAGAAGTTGCTGCCCCATGTTTCAACAGGCTTCTGGGCGTCGACAAATTGTACTGTGGTACACAAAGTACGTGTATGGAGTAACTCCACTCTTGCCTCCGGTGACTCGTGTTGTCCTCCGTATCCGGGCAGCTAGGACAAGCCTTCCAGCACCCATCTTCCACCCATCCTCCTAGAGCCTGACTGACCTGTCATCAACGGGTACCCAAGACCGGTCAGTATCTCCAAGCTTGGACACAGAAATCAGCTCGCTTGGCTTCATCTCCATACTGTTCTCTCCCGTGCCCACTTTCATTGCTGCTTCGAACGGATGTCAGAGCTTTTCTGCCACCGCAATCACCACGGTTTGAAGAACCGTTATTCATCAGTCATCAAGAGCCTTGACTTTGCTTTTTGATTAGAGCTTTGTCCCACAATTAAAACGCAGGGCTTGCCAAATCAATCCTTATCAAGGTAGCCGAAGATTAACGGATTTGAATGTTCCCGACAGCAAAAACGAGGACCCCTCTTCCTGCGCAGTATTTGAGGTAAATACCTACGCCTCTCAAATCTCTGGGACTAATCCGAGATATGGATAGTCTGGAAGGGCACATCAACCCGCCGTATGCCTCATTTGGTCTAGAGCTCGACAGCCTATCACCAGTTGAGCATTGATTGCTATTGCTGACGGATTGGTCGCCAAGGGTATTAATAGACCATTTCATATATGTTCACCAGTGAGTACTGAGTATGCCATCCGGAACTTGGTTACCAGAGTTCTATGGATGCGCGTTGGATCTTTGACGTCTGCATACAGCACGGTACCGAAACACACCTCAGAGACGCTCGGTCCGATTACTTGCAACAAGCCCCTTGAATCTACCTCTCTTCATGCGACCGCGGGAAGGTTGAAGATGCTGATATTCGGTTTCTGAATTGCATTTAGCGATTTCAACCCAGCAACCTCAGCTCATTAAAATGACAGATCAATGACAGATCGATGACAAGTTAATAGGCTCGGACCGAGACGGGAAGAATATCAGGGTTCACTACAAGGAAGGTCCAGTGCCTCAGGGGGGATGAAGACGAGAGGTAAAAGTGTTGGGAAACATCCGCCCCTTGAGTTTAGCTAACAGGCGAGTCCAAGATACAAGAGAGCGGGCTATCTATCCCGAGTAGTAACAGGACAAATCAGGATATACGAAAAAGACCTGTCCAAAAACGGATATAAAATCATAAAAAAGAAAAATAATCAAAAAATAAAAATAAAAAGAAATTGTAAAAAAAAAGGAAAGGAACCATGTGAGACATGGGTCATGCGTCTCGCTGGCTGGGTCTTGCTACCCAGAATATATTAACCGGCACGTCTGTCGCAGCGAAGCCACCCACTGCATACTTCTGCAAGTCCGCATGTCTAGACCTCGATGAGTAGCCTGGCAGCCCGGGCACCGAAAGGAAGCGGGGCCGGACGGGGAACTCGAGATACATCTGTACCGGGACTCCGTACCCGTGACCAGAACGACCTCGGTTAACACGGAATTTCCAAAAGTGCCGTTAGTCGCCGCTCCGAATTATGTAACGATTTTGCGGAAAGCCAAGCACGTTAAGCCTTCCTTAGGCTAGGCGCGTGTATAGACATGTTGAGCTATCATAATGCTTACATTTCTTGTTTTCCCCGGTCCGAGAGGAAAATCCCCCACGTCTACATTACCTGCACTTCGGTTGCTGAAGACGTAACCGCCTCTCTTCTCCTTACCAGTGTCGAGGGAGGTCTTAAAGGACGCGGACGTGGATTTACATAATGGGACTTGGACATTTAAGGTTCTCCTTGTTGTTCACCGCTGTTGATACTCTGCCGAACATGAGCCGACGACTACACCGGAATATTAAACGTAGCGTCAGCGACGTCCCTTGAGGGCCAAGACGGAACAATACTACACGCCGCTGTTACGGGCAGTTCACTTGGGCACATATTATTATGTACTTGCTTGGCGCTTGACTTGGGAAATTGATAGGTTCCACTGCGGTGCTGACCTCGCTCAGAAACAGACACTGGGCTCGAATATGCTATTCACCTTGCGTTTTGATACTGATATCTCAGTACCGATTCTGGCCGTCTTCTATTGGACTGTGCCTTGTGGCTGGCCAGTTGGGCAGTGATGTTGATAGCTGGTTATGGGATCGGACTATATATAAGTCTATGGGTCCAAGTTCACCAAAGTCCACGCTGCCAGTCGGGAAGTGGCGCTCCCTACATGTTAGTACAACTGCAATACTGGAAGGACGGAACAGCAGCCTTGGAATGAAATTAGAGGAAATCGCATCTCTGGGTTGCCGCAACCCATTCAAAGCGACCATCACTAGAGGTGTGTGACCACGGGTGTGTGGTGTTATACTCCAAGTTTTCGGTACATCCCCGCTGAACGCACGACAATTCATTTGATTTTCGAAAACCGTGGCTCACCAGCCACTTCTTTCAAAACTGCTGTCAACTTTCCTTTAGTTGTGACAAGCTCTCAACCGGCTCTATTTCCTGTTCACAATCCCTGTTTCTGCCTTCCTTCTAGCGGCGCTCCATTGGATTGGCCTAGAAGTCTAACGCGAAGCACCAAGACAATCTAAAAGTAGCCTCGTAGGTGGCTTCGGAAAGGGGGTGTGCATAACCAACAACAGATCTGGTGAGAATCGCGGCCATTCCTGTTAGTATCTGACTTACACATCCCATTTACGGAGCCACTCACTCGCTAGGGACCTACACTAGGTAGTACACGCACCCGCCTTGAAAACCTGGGGCACAAGCGGCGATCTTTGCTAGTGGATGGGCACTTACTAGGGCTCTTCGATAGCCGGATCGGGATATCGAAAATTCAAGTGCAGAAATTCATCACTTATCCATGCGCTCGTCCTTATCGTACATGGTCATTTGGATGGACGTTTTGTGGGATGTAGAGGAAGTCGAGCAAGTTTTACGCAAATATGCTGCCCCGGCAAAGAGTGAAATGTGCCAAATCACTTCGACACATTCGGTATCACAAGTCAAGCCAGCAAGCAAGCCGGAAAGGGGGAAACCGGAAGCAAGCACAGAGAACCCGTGGACCCCTAGAGCCGAGCGGAGAATTTTGATGCGGTAGAGAGGCAACACCAGATCTGAACAATACCTAGTATTCAACTTGCTTGACGTTGACATTGGCATTGTCATCAATTTAACATGGCATGGCATATCCATATGCAGGTACTCATCCACGTGCATACTACCAGACCTTGCTTGCACCCGCATACTCGGACTTTTTGGATGACCTTTAGTCGAACGACACTCATGTCATGCAGGGCCAGATTGAACAGCAGTCGCAGTTAAGAGCTGAATATCTATGGTTCTCATGAAGTCGTTTTCCCACTCTCATTACTCGAGTACGCTAAGTAGCATTACTGGGAAATCCAGCCCGTCATATATGCGGCATATCTATCTGGGCGCAAGTACGAAACTTTCCCTTTCCCCTACACAGAGTATCCCTTCCCACAATGCCTTGCTTCTCTCATTCCATTCTTTCCTTTCGTCACTTCTTCAGTGGAAAAACACATCGGCACCGCCATCCCTTTTCGAACCGAAGACCAGTTCACTCCCTGATCTAGGCGCATCTCGTATCCCTGCATAGCGAAGTATCTTGTCAGTAACGGTTCGTGTGTGATAAATGACCCGGGTTATCACCGTTTTGCCGGCGCATTCCCGGCCATAGAGGGGACTGGTTTGTCTTCCTCGTTACCAGCCTGCCTCTAGGCAGTATGTAGAGATCTCCCTTGCTCTCCAGTCATCCTCTCCCTCGGAAATAAGATTGAAAGGATGAACTCACTCCTTGAGTTTGGCAAAGGTGGGCTGTCCACCGAGATGGACAGCGCCGATGAATTCCGTTAGGTTTCCAGTTTGAACGTCACGCTTGATAAGCGCAACATGGCCGGAATTTTGCAACGCGGATACGACGAGGGAGCCGTCTTTGCTGAGGGAGAACTGGCGCGGGTTGATACCTCCCGCAGCGAAAATCTGTTGAAGGCTGAGGGTGCCGTCTGCCTCAATGGCGTAGTTGATGATGGAGTCTGACTTGATCTGTCCCGCCGCATTGTCCTCCGGGTCAGGAATATCAAATGTTTTTTCATCGAATCGGGATGATACTAGCAGGAACTGGTTATCGGGCTATTCAAGAGTCACGCGTATCGTGTGAACTGATTAGTACAAAGTTTATCGACCGTAGGAGCTTGAGAATGACTCGAGCTTACCGAAATAACGAGTTCTGAAGCTCTAGTGGTATTTCCGATACCCTTAGAACCAGGGCCGTGTGTTGGAATGCTGAACAACTCTTTACCAAAGTCAAGGTCAAGACCATTGCTATTATAGGTAACCTTCCACCCAATGATCTCATTGGAGAGCTCAGTGACGACGTAGAAGTAGGTTCCGGAGTCAAGCTTAACGAAAGCACCGTGCCTTGGGCCGGAAAGATCGGGTGTCGGAACCGTTTTGGATTCAACATAGCTCAAGGTATTCTTGTCTACCTTGAAGATACGAATAAGATCTGCGCCAAGATCGGGCGTCGCAATGAAGTTCCCGGTAGGGTCCAGGACAACCTCATGAGCATGTGATGTTTTTTGCTGAGAGTCAGAGCCAGGCTTCGGCGAGATTGTGAAAGTACTATTTTGGAGAGCCTTGGGGGCGGCGGGATTCGAGATATCGAACGACTGAAAACCCCCTCCCGCACTACAAAGCGGGAATGTTCGAGACTTGGTTAGCTCACCAGATTAATTCATAACAGAGAATGGGGTGAGTGATGGGAGGGCAAAGAGATGGACTAACTAGGCGGCAATGGCCAGTCCCTTGAGATTCTGTCCATAGCGGACGCTGCTCACTGGGCCTCGCAGCGTATCCAGCCTGTTGATCAGCGTGAGATTCGTGCCATTTCTGGGGACCTGAAAGTTGTAGAGGGAGCCAGTTGAGATGCTGCTCCAAGCCTCATCGAGGCAGTAAATGTGGTCGCCGACAAATTCCAACCATGAAGGGTTATTGCCACAGATGCCGAGCTGCTTGTTGATGACCTCAAGCTTTCCGTCCGCATACTTGATGGTGCTAAGAAATCCAGGATCCGTAGATGTACCCATAGAAGTAACAAAGATCAGGGTGGCCGACACGAAAGTGGGCAAGCCAAAGGCGATAACGCCAGCGGCTAAGGACTTGTACAACATTGTGTAGATCTGTCGATTGCCCGTAGTATATTAGGGACTGTTTTCAGTGAGGGAGAGGTAAGGGCAATATAGAGATTATTTGTCGGGAGAACTGGTGGGAGGTGGGCTGGATTTATGTAGTTGTAAATTCTCAAGACGAGACGAAAAGACAATACCATTCACTGTCAGTGGGCTTCTGCCGCGCTTAATGGGTCACAATATTGAGAGCCAGAAGCACCATCATGCCCTCATGAACACCCTTCACGCAGCCGTCCCTTTTGAAGGAGACTTCCACCTTGAGTCTGATTCGTGACGAATGACCCAGTCCGCCCTTGCGCGCAGCATATCGAGCATACTCTGAGTGGGAAATGCTATGCCTGTTCCGCGTGGCTCACGGTCCTTTGGTAGGTACTGACGAGTTGCGCAAGTTTGCCCGGAATTCAGACCATATCACGCCGCGGTAGGAGCAGCAAGTCTGCAAATGAAGCGCCGTTTGAAGGGCATCCAATGGCGTTTGGTGGCTGGCGGTTTCGCAATTTGGCTCTCGGTAAGCCAGGGCCAAGAAATTCATCTTCATGTTGAAGTACATGACGTCCTACGGGTTGGGTTGGTAATCAAGGTTCAAGCGGCGCAACGCTTCGTGTTTTAGCTAGCGTTGGGGGACGGTTTCTTTGACCAACGTCGTCTGTTGTGCGCGGTCGGCGTCATTGTCAGGAGTATGGTTGGCGTATCAGTTGCCCGCAGTTAGTAGTGTATGTATAATGGGGCGAGTGTAAGAGGCCTTTGAGGACATGAAGTCGGAAAGCATGACGAATAGGAAGCACATCCATGCAGGAGATGCAAAATTGTGGGGAAGCAAGGGCTGCAAGTGGAAGGCAAGTCACAAAGAGCCACTACACTTAACATCACCTACAAACCAATCACTGCAACATCTCCTACAATCCATCCTCCCTCTCCAACGTCGAGTCCCTCAACGCCTTTAGAATTCAAACCTACCTACCGTAGAAACTCGGGAAATTGGCAAAAAGCTTTCCCTCTTTGAGCGCCCGACAGTAAGTACAAGGAGCAGTATACTCCTGTACATATGTCCGCTCAGTTAGTGAAGGCTCTACAATACTGCCCAGCACTATCTTGCCTGCGTTCCAAAGCATAGGCACGGACTCGAGCGTTACAGATCTGCCAGCACCCTGCCTGATATCCAGGTTTTTCAGGCATTAGCTTTTTGCCAATTTCCCGAGTTTCTACGGTAGGTATCCCGACATACCGTAGAAACTCGCGAAATTGGCAAAATACCATCTCCTCTTTGAGCGCCGGGCAGGGCATAAAACGGCGCCCCGTAAGCCAGCATATGTGTCTGTCCAGTTAGTGAAAACTCGGGGACATTACCTACCACTCTAACTTAGGTACATTTCAATGTGCAGAATCGGGCTTGCTCTGTACTTATATGCTCCCTGCCCGGTGCTCAGAGAGGAGATGGTATTTTGCCAATTTCGCGAGTTTCTACGGTACATGTGTCGAGGTCTTCCTGGCGTTAATCCCTGCCACCGCAGGACATTCGACCCCTTTCCAGTAAGCGATCCTGGCGTTTCCATTTCACATCCTCGATGGCCGATATATATATTACCCATCTGATTAACGCAACAACGACTGGGGACCATCACCAACGAAGTCAGATACCGCCCGGGACACAAATCACACCCGTACTATATGCTATGACGGGATCGCGAAGTCCATCAAAGGGTAAATTATCTGAAGGACACCAATGGCGGCTAAGGATAAGTTGGGATCGCAGCGGCTAAATCTATTCTGTCCTTTCTTTGCTCCCTCGCGATACCTTCGTCAAACAATGACCGAAAGCGCCTCGAGAAATCACTTAACAGTTGGTCGGCCGTCACTTAGTTGCACGCCGCATACCAACTCTCTCTTCCCGCGCGCGTCTATAGAGCGTCGTCCATCTCTTGTCGACGGCTCCCTCGAAGCAGCCAAACCAAGCATCTCCCGACCAAACTATAGACGCCGAACCATTACCTTTATCTATTTTCCCCAAAACACATCAAGCCTTTATAGAGTCACATGCGTGGGCTTGGACAGGCAATCCAGCCATGTTCCTTTTCAAGATCTCGGAATCCTCCTCCCCCGAAGCTGCCTTTTTTTTTTTTTTTTTTTTTTTTTTGTAACTAGCGGTACTAAAGACCTCGCCGAGCTCTGTTGCTGCCCCCATACCCCTCGTCAATAGTTGAACTTGTGACCAACAGCTGTCTGTCACTTGCTACCTGGGCGTATCAACGTTCCTTCAAGGATGTGGGAAAAGATGCCTACTACATAAGTACCTATACCTGCGCACCTCCGGAAAACTACCCTTGCTGACTGACATCGAATCAACGAAGGGAAAGTTCAAATAACCAAGATCGGCGACCACCGGCCTGAAGCACCGGACCGGTGGCGGTTGTGAGGTGCATTGGTTTCCTCGGTGCTTAGTTCCTGAAGTTTAGGTGCAGTAGTGTAGGTTATGAGGCCGGGAGCTAGAGGAAGGTGGGAAAGGACGTTGTTGGGAGGCTCCCAAACGGGCTGTAGAAGTATGTAGAAAGTTGTCTGGTTTTTGTGTAGTCAAGTGAGCGGGATAGAGGCTGTGATGTTTGATGATGAACAGAAGCAAGTCCATGTTCTCCTGGACAAACGACAATATCCTGGGGAAATGGTGCCTGGCTGAAAGAGAGCAACCTTCGCTAGAAAATACATATACTTAGGGTGTTAGTATATTGAAATCAGATGCAAGTTCAGTGCTAGAAGACGAGGAAGAGCCTAAGTTATGCCCTCCAAAAAAAAAAGCATTAATTCTTGAACAAACATGGTAGACCGCCAGACTTCCAAACCTCCTTCTTCTTTCCCACACTTCTCGAACGCTCTCCTTATACCCCCCTCTCCCTGTATCATCTCTCCCCTCCACACCTCTCGCCCATACACGCTGCGACACTCCCATTTCAACCCCAACCACCATACCTCAAGTGGACCCCAAAATCTTACTATACGCGTCCTCCACCTCGCCCGCCAGCTCCAACAACGACACAATAACAATCTGGTGCGTCAGGTTAGGCAACCGGTCGCGGTGCAAGCCGATCCACTCGAGCGGCGGCGTGGCCTCGCCCATATCGCGCAGCTGGGGTGTTTCGATCACGGGCGGCTCAAGCGCCCTGTACTCGTATTTGGACTGGGGGACTTTGACTTCGGCTGTGATCTTGTTGGATTGCCGTCTGTTTTGATCCTTTTCTTTTTGTTTCTCCTGAGAAGCAGATGCGGATGCAGAGAAAGAGGAGGGACCGGCGTCTGCAGAAGTGGATGCGGGTGTGGAAGACGATTGTCGTTGGTCTCTTGGCTTCTGCTCTCCATCTTTTTGGACTGCGGTCGCAGTAGCTGTAATGTCTTCAGCCGGACCCTCCGGCACGCCCGTGACGCGGATGGCCGTGACAGGGGGTAACTCTTTGCCCCAAGTGCGCTGGAGCGTTTTGGAGTGATTGGCCCACATGCCGCGGATGAAGCTGATGCGGCTGTAGTTCCAGCCTACTTCGACCTTGCCTTCAAACGCGCTTTTGAAGATGTAGTCAATGGAGCGGCTGTCCGGCCGCTGCCACGTCTGCATCACGGCTTCTACTTGGGGCACTTTGAGAATGGTGCCGCCTCGGGAGCCCGTGGCGCTCTGGACTACGTCCTCGACCGAGAGCTCACTCAGCGTCTTTGGAGCACCGCCAGTAGCGCGCACGCCGGCGAGGCCGATGCGAAGCTGGCCTAGTGTCAGACCTAGAATGCTGTGAATTCGGCGGTCCTCGATGCTGGCGGCAAACCGGGCCTGGGCGTTCAGGGCTTCAACCTTAAAAACTTGGCTGTCGGCGAAGGTACCGGGAAAGACACCTAAGTTGAGGGCCTTGAGGGTTACCACGACGTCGGTGTCCAGTGAGATGGGTGATTTGGTGAGCGTATCGTCCGCTTCGGAGGCAAGCTTGGATTTCTGATCAAGGCGCTTTATGACTGCTGCTGGCGCCGTGACTGATTTCCTCCTCATGAATCGCTCGATTTCCTTGAGAGAGCTCTCAAAGTTTGCTCTACGCTCTTGAATGAGCCTTTGGAAGGCCTGGTACATAGCCACGCCCTGAGCGGCCGAGCTGGTAGTTCCAAAGATCTGGACGGCATTGCCGTCAAAGATAGCGACAAGACGGTCTCCCATTCCTTGTCGGCTGCGCCGTACGTTATACATGAGGAACTCCATGGACGTGATGTCTGCAACTAGGAAAGCCTGGTAGTCGAAAGCAGCCTTGACCCGGAACTGGCTGAATGCAACAGACGCTTGAACAAGAGGTGTCTCGTTCAAGGCCTGTTCTCGTTCAGGCCACTTGATGGAGGTACGTAGCTTGAAATTCCGCAGTGCCACGAAGCCGCTCATCCGGCCTTGACTTTCCATGCCAATCATGTCAAAGCCAAGGCAAAGATTTTGCTCCCAGTCTGACGTCTTTTTGGACGAGATCCAGAAATTGTCAATGGAAAACGTAGATTTGCCCAGGGCCTGACCTAAATCCACACAAATCTTCAGTGCGGTGATAGAGATGGTGGCAGTCCAAGGGAAGGCAGCAGTTGCCGCAACCTGCTGGTAGCGCTGCACGAGATGACCCTGTGAAGTCTCTGTGACCAGTTTGGCCACTGGCGATGACGGCGTCGTTTCTGTAAATTGACGGGGGACCCATATCTCTTGGAAAAGCATAAAGTCTTGCAGTTGCTTTGCGTTGATCGACACCTGCATGGGGCTAACCTTGAGAATCGCAGACAGCCCGTTGGTGCCGCTTACATGCTTGCTGTTCATCAGCGACAGAACTATTGAGTCAACGTTAAAGCTTCCGGTCGACTCCCGCGAATAGACGTGTTGGATAGAAGCCTGGAGGTTTGAAAAGGCTCCAGATATTGCAAAGAAGTTGCCTTGGTCAGCCGACCGGACGGTGTTGGCGGTAAAGTACACGTCGTCAAAACTGGCGGTGGCCGCCACTAGAGCGATAGGCTGACAGCTCAACGAAAATTCCTGCTTCCGGACACGCAGGCCGAGATTAAGCTTCACACGACCCAGCACGGCGGTGGGATCAGCACCGAGAATTCCGTCCTCTTCAGCTGGTTTAGCCTTGGGGGAAGGTGCTGGCGGGGGACTGGGAGGGTTGGCACCATCTCCTCGTTCGCTGACCACTGACTTGATGTTGTTGCTCATTTCCACAATCAAAGGCACCACTGAGGGATACAATATGTTGCTAGACGCGTCGATCCTTACTTCAGCAAATAGAGAAGGGTCTTCCCTGCCATCATCGCAATATTCGAGCTTTAAGGCAAGGCCTGGGGACCTGAGGATCGTGACGCTGTTCACCCACTCTTCTTGCCCAAACTGTCCCGACTTCCCAGCCGTGCTAGACTTGCCTAGCCTTGACGCACTGACTAGATCACTGGGTGTTCTCTTGCCTGTCAAATGTACGACGGCACCCGCAAAATCTGCGTCCACGAGGAGTGACTCAAGCCTCTTGCTGCCCAGAATACTCCTTTTGCGAATTTGCTCTTGTGCTTCGGGCGAACTTGCTGCTTGTACTGCAGCGGGAGGAGAAGGATTCCAGTTTTGTGAAGCCTGTTGGACATTGTTTATGGACAGACTGATTGACCTGGTTAGATGAGCTGCCGGTAGGATGAAACCCGAAGTAAGTCGAATGTCGAGCGTCTTGCCCACAGCTTGGAAGGCCAGCCGCCGGGTGTCGGACATGGATACGTAGGCAATGTTGAAGATAATCTCCGGCAGCAAAGCAGAGTTCGGAGATCGTAGCCTCCGTTCCTGCTCAAGAGAAACCATTTGGAGCCGTAGGTTTTCGATTGTGAGCCTGGCCGAGTTCTTTGTGCGAGTGCTGAGCTCAATCTTGTCTAACGACAGGACAAGGTCCTCCTTATCAGGGTCCGGGAGTTCTCTTGGGTGGTTATGGTTGACTAGCCAGGCCAGTTGTATGTTGCAGATCTCGAACGTGTATGTGAATGAGGACAGGAAAACATCAACGATGTCCTGGTCTTTCTCTTCCTCCATTTCCAGATCATTGATTGCAATGCGCGGCTTAGACTGGCGGAGCTTTCGCAGATATTCCAATTCTCTGGTTGTATCAAGATCTTTGATCTTGTC